AAAAAAAAAAAAAAAAAAAAAAAAAAAAAAAAAGTAAAAGAAAATAAGAAAAACTGAGCTCTCTAGTATCTTTCAACCTTTTCATCTCATGGCACACTTGACCCTATAGTTAAACTTTTGTGGTACACTTATTTATATTCATTAAAAAAGAGAGCAAAAATAAGAAGACTATACATGCTGTGCTTTGAACTTCTTTCTAAAATAATTTAATGATCTTTAAAAACATTCACAGCATACCTAAGATCCTCTCACAGCACACTAACTGAAAATCACTGCTCTCTAGAAATGTATTCAGCTTTACCACACAGAATTGAGGTGACCATGATGGACTGTAGCCCCAGTGGCCAGCTGCATGGCTTTCTCCCACAGTACCCAGTGTCCACATGTGACACTAAGTAGGTGAAAGGTTCATGTGGGGCTGGAAAGTTCCAGAATGAAGAAGAACAGAGAGCAAAGGAACTTAGGACAGGTTTGCAAGTTTAGAAGTGCCAGACCCTAGCAACTAAGGTGCATGGACGGGGAAGTGAGGTCAGAAGGGGCAGTGTGGATAAAGACGGAGAAAGAGGTCAGCTGATTCATGGGGCCATGAGGTCAAGCCACCATGAGGACAGACTCAGGTGGGACATCACCGCAGACATGAAATGCATTAACACTCTGTTATCTGCCTAGCAGGGCACACACCACACTAAGTTATGATTTTTTTTTTTTTTGAGGTAGAGTCTCAGTTTGTTGCCCTGAGTAGAGTGCCATAGCATCACAGCTCACAGCAACCTCCAGCTCTTGGGCTTAGGTGATTCTCGTGCCTCAGCCTTCCAAGTAGCTAGGACTACAGGCACCTGCCACAATGCCCGGCTATTTTTGTTGTTGTTGCAGTTAGGCCAGGTTTGAATCCTCCACCCTCGGTATATGGGGCGGGCACCCTACTTGCTGAGCCACAGGCGCTGTCCCTAAGTTATGATCTTTAAATGTTGTGTGGCAGCATGCATGATGAAGAACTGACTTTGCACATGCGCGCTAAAGCCCTGGGGAAACCAGAAAAAATTCCCAGCGTTCCAGTGTGTGTCGTTGTAGGAATTGAATGATGCACCAAACAGATGCAGTGCTCACCCTCCAGGGACTTACTCTCTCAGGAGGGAAGAGAAACTCAGGCCCCAGGGTCCACAGAATTCATCACGGTTGGATTGCGTGAGCTGTGGAATTTGAGACCAGCCTGAGCAAGAGTGAACCCTACCTCTACTCAAAATAGAACAAATTAGCTGAGCATAGTGGCCCAGGTGTGCGCCTATAGGCCTAGCTATTCAGGAGGCAGGAGGACCCCTTGAACCCAGGAGTTCAAGGCTGCTGTGAACTATGATGATGCCTCTGCACTTTACCTGGGGGTAACAGAACGAGACTGTCTCAAAAAAACAAAACAAAACTAGGAATTAATCAAATAAAAGCACATTGTTGAAAAAGCGGTCCCTAAGTTTTTTTTTTTTTTTTTTGAGTCAGTCTCACTATGTCACCCTCCGTAGCATGCTGTGGTGTCACAGCTCACAGCAACCTCCAACTCTTGGGCTTAAACCATTCTCTTGCCTCAGTCTCCTGAGTAGTTGGGACTACCCATGCCCACCACAACACCTGGCTATTTTTTGGTTGCAGTTTTCATTGTTTAGTAGGGTGGGGCTGGGCTCAAACCCACCAGTGGCGGTGGGTGTGGCTAGCACCCTACTCACTGAGCTACAAACTCCAAGCCCATAAGCTTTTTTTGATCCTCTGTGGCAGCAGCCATGCTGGCTGTGCAAAATCCCCTTATTTGCATAATCTTGGTCAGAACTGCCCCAGGAGGTCACTTGGATAATAGTGCTTGAGAAAAATGCTTCACCTGGTAACAATTAGTTAAAATGTATTGCATTCCCACCAATACAATGGGCCAGACATTGCACTGGCAGCACTTACAATGGGTAATATTGTCCATATTCCAGGTCAGGAAACTGATGTCTAAGGAAATTACTCAAAGATTTTTTATTTATTTATTTTTTGTAGTTTTTGCATGGAGCTGGGTTTGAACCCACCACCTCCAGCATATGGGGCCGGCACCCTACTCTTCTGCGCCACAGGTGCTGCCCCTCAAAGGTCATTTTGCTGGTTAGTGGTAAAGGCAGGTTCAGATCCAGCTGTTCCTCCATCTGGCCTTTCTGCTCCATAACATGCTCCCTCTTTAATTCCTTTCATAGGAAAGATACGTAATAACACATTTAGGGCGGCGCCTGTGGCTCGAAGGAACAGGGCTCCAGCCCCATGTGCCGGAGGTGGCAGGTTCAAACCCAGCCCCAGCCAAAAACTGCAAAAAAACCAAACAACAACAACAAAAAACCATGTTTATCCTTAGGATTTGATGGAGAAAACAATGTTTTCTTTCTCTCAGTGTTAAACATATAAATAATCACAGCAAGCTTTTAATACAAACATGTTTATAATTGCACTTTTTTTTGAGACAGCCTCAAGCTGTTGCCCTGGGTAGAGTGCTGTGGCATCATAGAACCTCCAACTCTTGGGCTCAAGCGATCCTCTTGCCTCCGTTTTTCTATTTTTAGTAGAGACGGGGGTGGGGGGGTGGGGGTGGGGTCTTGCTCTTGCTCAGGCTGGTCTCGAACTCCTGAGCTCAAGCAATCCACCTGCCTCAGCCTCCCAGAGTGCTAGGATTACAGGTGTGAGCCACCGCGCCCTCCAGTATAACTGCACTATTTATGACCACACAAACTTCCCATACAGCCACAAACTGGGAACCAGGTCAGAAAACGATACCATACCACACTGATGGAATAGCATATTGCTACTAACATGATTAAAAGGTATACAAGGAATAAATCTACATAAAAATCTATATGGAATTATTGCTGGTTAAAATATGTTAACTTACTGAATTTTTTTTTTTTTTTTTGGCAAAGTTTTTGGCCAGGGCTGGGTTTGAACCCGCCACCTCCGGCATATGGGGCCAGTGCCCTACTCCTTTGAGCCACAGGCACTGCCCACTGCAATATTAAAACCTTTTCTCAAATTTCAGATCCATACTGGAGAGGGTCCTTAGTGATCCCCCCTTTTATTTATTTATTTTTTTGGCCAGGGCTGGGTTTGAACCCACCACCTCTGGCTTATGAGGCCAGCGCCCTACTCCTTTGAGCCACAGCGCCACCCAACACCCTTTCTTTCATAGGCTAGGAAACTGAGGCACTGTGCATGCTCAAATACCATGGTGAAAAATCAACAGGCAGAGGGAGATTTGGGTGACACTAATTTTCCTTTTTTTTTTTTGAGACAGAGTCTCATTATGTCACCCTTGGTAGAGTGTCGTAGCATCACAGCTCACAGCAACCTCTAACTTGTGGGTGTAAGCAACCTCCTGAGTAGCTAAGACTACAGGCGCCCACCACAATGTCCAGCTATTTTTTGGTTACAGTTGTTGTTTAGCTGGCCCAGGCAGGGCTTGAACCTGCCAGCCTCGGTGTATGTGGCCAGCACCCTAACCACTGGACTATGGGCGCTAAGCCTAATTTTCCTCTCTTGATATCATGTTGGAATCATTTACCAAAGTTTGATGCCTTGATCAATAAAGCCCAACATATTAATTCACGCTACTATTTGATAAGCAAAGATGACATTCCTGGCACTTTGGGAAAAACAAACGTATAGGCATCTTTCTCTACTTGGGTCCAGTCTCACTTCCTGGGGCTCTGCAAGTTCAGACATTTTTATTTTTGCAGTTTTTGGCCAGGGTTGGATTTGAACCCACCACCTCCGGCATATGGGGCCGGAGCCCTCCTCCTTTAAGCCACAGGTGCCGCCCCATCAGACCTCTTCTCCATGAATCAATCCCCCCATTGGCCTGTTTTTATAGATCAGGGACCAGGACGATCTCACAACCGAGTGAATAAAGTGAAGTAGCCACAAGAAGAAATGTGAACGAATGTGGTAACACATGACCTTAGCTTCCAGAAAGCCACGGGTATGAGTTAAAACGACAGGGTTTTGTGGAGAGAACACCTGGGGAGATTCCAGCCCCAGCCCTCCCCTAGCCCTGGAAAGAATTCATTCCACAGGAAAAGAAAACACAGGGTGAGCACTCCAGCCAAACACACCACGCTCTGGGAAAGATGTCAAGAGTCCTCCTCTTGAATCTCTGGTGTCAAATAAAATGCGATTGTTTTTGTTATTTAACAGAGTTATGACTAGATGTTTTTCATATTTGCACGTTTCCTAAAGTTTTGCAGAGTCTACATCTGTCTTTACTTTCTTAGAGGACCCTTGTACTTTGAACACTCATGTTGCAAAGTCAGGGTACATGTGAAACTTACTAGATGTAGAATATAAACGTCTTAACACAATAACTAAGAAAATGCCATGAGGGCTATGTTAACCAGTTTGGTGAAAATACTTGAAATTGTCTATAAAACCAGCACATTGTACCCCATGGCGGCATTAAATCATAGCTGTGTACATTAATTAAAATAAATAAATAAAAAGTCAAGATTTTTCTTTCAGGTCCTGGATATTCTTCAGTTCACTTTGGGTCCTTAAAATGTTTTTCAAACATATTTTAACATAGAATTTTGATATAACTTTGAAAATATTCTCCGAAAATACTAAGTCTTCAAGTACCAAATCCTCTAAGTTTAAGATACTTTATGTAAGTCAAAGACTAAATATTTAGAATAATTTAAAATATATCAATTCTGTTTTATTTATAAAGCCAAAGATTAAATGTTCAGAATAATTTAAATTATATCAATTGTTTCATTTATTTAGAGATAGAGTCTCACTCAGTCACCCTGGATAGAGTGCTGTGACATCCTAGCTCACAGCAACCTTAAATTCTTGGACTCAAGTGATCCTCTTGCCTCAGCTTCTCAATCTTAATCTATTAAAGTGACATGGTAGATGTCTCAAATGATGTCATATTGAATGAGGGATCGAAACTAAACTCTTGTCCCAACACAAGTAAAAAAATTTTCAACACTTACCTGAGCCGAGAGTCCTTAAAGGTGTCCAGATAGGCAGGATAGCTCCATCCGATTTTACTCCCTTTACATCGGAGCTCTACAGTCTGCCCCGCCGACAGGCTCAGGGTAGCAGCAGGTTTCTGGAAGCGACCTTTATCCATCACTTGCATCATGATAGACGGTGTCTTTGGTGTTGAGTCCGCTGCGTCCCTGTCCTTTATTTTGGGAACTTTGGGCTTCACCTTTTTGTTGGCAGGTTTGATTCTATTCTCTCCTGGCTCTTTTGCACGCTTGTTCTTGGGAGGGTGTTGGCCAGCAACTATAAATGTGAGGAGAGAGCAGAGGGGGACAGAGTGACAGTCACAGAGCAGCTGATACCTCGAGCAGAGGTATCAGCTTTGTAGGGTTTTTTGTAGGGTTTTTTTTTTTTGTTTTTTTTTTTTGGCCTGAGCTGGGTTTGAACCCACCACCTCCGGCATATGGGGCCGGCGCCCTATTCCTTTGAGCCACAGGCACTGCCTGACTTTTTTTTTTATTGTTGGGGATTCATTGACAAACCAGGTTACACTGATCGCATTTGTTAGGTAAAGTCCCTCTTACAATTGTGTCCTGTCCCCAAAAGGTGTGGCACACCAAGACCCCATCCCCTCCCCCCTTCCCTCCTTCTTTCTGTTAGAGCAGATAACTTTTTTTTTTTTTGAGACAGCGCTTCAAGCTCTCACCCTGGGTAGAGTGCCGTGGCATCACAGCTCACAACAACCTCCAACTCCTGGGCTCAAGTGATTCTCCTGCCTCTATCTCCCAAATAGCTGGAACTACAGGCACCGGCCACAATGCTTGGTTATTATTGTGGTTGCAGCTGTCATTGTTTGGCGGGCCCGGGCTGGACTCAAACCCCCCAGCTCAGGTGTATGTGGTTGGTGCCACAGGTGCCAAGCCCAGATAACTTTTTTAATCCCCCCTCATATGTCAAAATTATTTTTAGTAATAATCACATAGTAACCTTTATTTTTTTATTCATTCTTTAGTGTTTAAAGCAATTAATTAAAAATATACAGTAGAACCTCCATAGTTGACCACCTCCCTACACTGATTACCTCCTAAAGGAGACCTGATTTTTATCGAGTGGACATGAACTGTATGTACATATGGGTACAGTTGTCCTAGGTCCATATGTTGACCACCTCCTTATGCTGACCAGTTTACTACAGTTCCTTGAGTGGTCAACTTACAGAGGTTCTATTGTATTTCAGCTTCAAAGATATCATTCAAATTTAGCAAAATAGTTCACGTATAAACTAAAATTTACCCTTACAAAAATATTATTCCTTAATGTTTATATGCTGTGTCACAATCTCCAGGTGGTCACACGTAATGGCAGAAGTGAAGGTCTATTTTTTGTCTTTGCAATCTCTGTTATCACTGTTCATTTGGGGGGTTTTTTTGCATTTTTTATTTTAAGACAGAGTCTCAATCGGTCTCCCCAGGTAGAGTGCTGCCGCATCAGAGCTCACACCAACCTCAAACTTTTGGGCTCAAGTGATCCTCTCGCCTCAGTTTCCCAAGTAGCTGGGACTACAGGTGCCCAACATAACACCAGGCTAGTTTTCGTATTTTTAGTAGAGAGGGAGTATCACTCTTGCTGGGGCTAATCTCAAACTCCTGAGCTCAAGTGATCCACCAGCCTCTGCCTCCAAAAGGGCTAGGATTATGGGCATGAGCCAGCAAGCTTGGCCATTATTCATTTTGAATTTACTATTTAAACACAGGAATATGTAAGCCTCACAGAGGCTGGATACAAACCGTACTGAAAATACACTCAAAAAATTTCAAATCATAACGAACTCTCCAAATGAGGAGCATGAAATCTACCTTTGTCCACGTAGAGTACAATATTTATTAAAGAACAAGGACTAAATGTACACCACCTTAAAGCTTATTAAAACCCAAGAGGTAACTGGAGCAATGGTTTAGAACCTAGCCAACAAAATATTCTTAGGAGGAAAAGCATCTCATCACCAAAATCGTTGAGTTGCCAGCAAACTAGTGATAATAAAAAGCTGACTGAATTTCGGTTGGTTTTATTATTATTTTTGCCTTTTCTACAGACAAGGAACCCCTTACTGCCTGCAACGTTGGAAGATCGCTCCCACTGCCCTGCCCCGGGAAGGCTCCAGAAATCTCAGCCAGGGCCCCTGCAGCCTTGCAGTCTGTCCACACAGCAAAGGCCAAAAAGGGAACCTTGATATACACCCACAGAATTACAAATTGTCCAAACTTACAGGATCCTTAGAGACCATTTAGTCAAAGCTCATATTGTAGCGTAGGTGCCGCTGCGTCACCAGCGCGGCAGGCCAGAAACAGCCGGTACTCGGATTAAAAGCACAAGCTCGCAAGAAAGGAGGCGCCCCGGAGGTGCAGGAGGGCCCGACCCCCCCGCAACTTCTGCCATGGCTATTTATTGAGGGGATAACAGGTGTGGGAGTGCCCAGTGCTCAAGGATCGCCACGTGCTCCTGTCCCACGGGCTCCACTCCCACACAAACGTTCAAGATTCAACACCTGCTCGCTAACGAGCGACCGTCTCATCAGCATCCAGAGCGCTGAGCTACCCAGGGCCCCGGCTGCAAAACATCTCTGGGCTCCTACATTGTAGATTAAAAAATAAAGGAGCCCCTAAAAAATTAAATCAATTGCACAGTCACTCAGCTGGTTAGTGGCAGAATGCAAGAATTCAGGTCTTTGGCCTCAATTCCAAAGTGCTTGTTTCACGGTATGGAGATAAACATTATATATATAGTTTCGGATTTAATATAGGGTACAAATGATCAAGTTCCATCGTTTGCGTTTGTTAGGTAACATAAAAATACAGGACACTTCATGAATTTGCATGTCAGCCCTGAGCAGGAGCCATACTAATAATCTCTGTATTGACCTAATTTTAGTACATGTACTGTCAAAGCCAGCACTCTATGTTTTAAATAAATATACAAACCTCGGCCAATAGAGAGAATTACAGGACACTTGCATGAAATGCGGAAATGTGGTAAGTCAAAAGAAAGTTATAATCAACCACTCAGGCCAGCTCATCGTCTATAGCTCAGCAGTTAGGGTGCCAGCCACGTACACCAGAGCTGGTGGGTTTGAACCCAGCCCGGCCTGCCAAACAATGACAACTACAGCCAAAAAAGAATAGCCAGGAGTTGTGGCAGGTGCCTGTAGTCCCAGCTACTTGGGAGACTGAGGCAAGAGAATCACTTAAGTCCAAGAGTTTGAGGTTGCTGTGAGCTGTGACTCCATGGCCCTCATGGAGAGCAACACAGTGAGACTCTGTCTCAAAAAAACCCAAAAAACAAAAAACCTCAGGCCAGGTGTGTTGGTTTACACCTGTAAACCCAGCACTGGGGAGGCTGAGACAGGAGGACTGCTTGAGGACAGTTTAAAACTAGCTTGGGCAATGTAGCAAGACCCCACCTGTAAAAACTCATCTGCTTTGGATTCAACTATGTAACCACGAAACTTGACATCTTTTCTGTTACCCTTTGACATGTGACACAAGAGCCACTTACCCTCCACTTTTGGTTCAGCCTTGCCCAGCTCTGGAACCAATCCTGCTCCTACGACCTCTCGCTCAGTGCCGGCCCTCACAAATTCACAAATGATTAATATCATCATTGACTTCAAGTGTAGGCCTGCCATTTACTAGCTGTGTGACATTAGGAAGTGTCTTACCTTGTCCTGTCTTAGTTTCCGCATCTGTAAATTGAGAATGATAGGGTGACAATAACTATCTCATGGATTGTCGCAGGAATTAAGTGAACTAATATTTAAATGCTGAGAATAGCATTTGAGCCACGGTCAGTAATTGCCAGCTAAGTGCTACTCTGTTTATGGTTGTCGTGTGTGATCTTCATGACAAACTCCTGGTGGAGGCAAAGCAGCTGTTATTGTTTTAAGTTCACAGATGCCAAGAGTCGCACTCTCGGTGATCCAGAAGGTATTAAAGAACCTCTGACTCTAAGTCTGCAGCTTTGTCTGGTTCATGCTGTTGCTTTTCTAGAGGTTAGGACAGTGTTGCAGTTTCATTTGCAAACATCTTTGTTTGGTAGGACGAGAAATTCCAAGTCAAACAGAACTGGATGCTGGGGATGGGTGCCCAACCTTCCTGGAAGGGGGTGGAGGTCCTGTTCTGAGGCATATATTAGAATCCCCAAGTGAGGAGATGCTGGTCAAAAACTTGTCTCCAAAATGAACGAATAAATATTACAAAGAGGAAGGACAAAGGAACTGTGATTACTTAGCATTGACTCAGAGTTAACCAAACCTTGCTCATTAGGAGTGATCTGAGGCCAGGTGCAGTGGCTCACGCCTGTAATCCTAGTGCTCTGGGAGGGCGAAGTGGAAGGATTGTTTGAGGCCAGGAGTTTGAGACCAGCCTGAGCAAGACTGAGACCCCACCCCCAGCTGATATCTACTAACAATAGAAAAATTAGCTGGGCATATAGCAAGTGCCGGTAGTCCCAGCTACTTGGGAGGCTGAGGCAAGAGGCACTCGTGAGCCCAAGAGTTTGAGGTTGCTGTGAGCTATGACTCCAGGACCCTCTACCCAGGGTGACAGAGTGACACTGTCTCGAAAAAAAAAAGTGATCTGACTATTAACATCTCTAATTCTATAAAGCTGTGTTGGAAGAGAAACTAAATTCATTAGGAGAATCAGTGACTGCTGCTTAGATGGGGGTTACGCGTTAAACAGTGGTTAATATCAAAGAGCGGTGTATTTTTTTCTTCCCTAGTAGACAGTTTAAGGGGAAAGGCCAGTCCCGGGGCAGCATCTAAATAACCACACTATAAATTTTCTGAGCCACTCCCTTGTCTCCCAATTGGTTATATAACCCGGGAGACATCCAGCCTTATTTTCCCCTCCTTCAGAAACACCCCCACAGAACACACACACTTTTCCATGAACAAAGCTGAGAAGGGGGGAAAGTGACACTAGGAGGATGAAAACATATCTCTAGAAAGATGACAGAGCCCTTCCTCTCCCCGCTCCCTTCCAGAACCCCACTCCAGAAACACTCTCCTAGCACTTTTAAAAGGAAAGTATCATTTTCTGAAGATAAGATCCTTCTATTTGAGGATAAAGACTTTAATTTGAAACATTTTCCAGAACTCAGAACACAGCTGATGACTTTATTTTTGCATAAACTCTATCCACCTGAGTTCCAGGACATCTTGCTGTCTCGGTTGGTTTTCCTCCGGGGTCACTGACAATACTACTTTCCTTTCTGGCCCCAGCACCCTCTCTCACTACTTTCACTCTCCAAATGACCTTAAGAAAGCCCAAGGCTCTTGTTTGCAATAGCTGAAAGCTGCCCCGGGGCCCGTCCTGGCTCTGCTACTCAACTCCAGATCTGAATATTGTGTCGCTTACTCAGCACAGCCACTTGGAAGACTAGTAGGCATCTCAAATTTAGCATGTCCAAGAGTGACCTCGGATGCCCCTTCAGCCCTGCCCCTTCCTGGTGTTCCCTTAATCAGCAAATAGCCACTCTGTTCACCCAGTTGCTCAGAACAAAAATAGTACAGTCTGCCTTGATTTTCACATCTAATCCGGCAGCAAATCCTTCTGGCTTCACCTAGAAAATAGACCCTCCATCCACTGTTACCACTGTGGGCCAAGCCACTCTTCATCCAGACTGTTAAAGGCACCTGCAAAGTGGCTCCTGCTTCCACCCTAGCACTCTGGACCTCTCCGGGGTCGCTCCCTCACTTCAGGAAGATGCCGGACTGTCCATCTGACCCGCAGCCTCCCTCCCTCCATCCTTTCCACATCTCACCCTATGCTACTGGTTGGATGGTATCCCCTAAAAAGATCCACTGAAGTCCTCACCCCCAGCACCTGTGAACGCGGCCTTACTTTGGTCTTTGTAGATGTGATCAAGTTGCCATGAAGCCATTAGGCTCCGCCCTCATCCAATGTGACTGATGTCCTTATAGGAAGAGAAGGGACACCCACAGAGAGGAAACCGCCATGTGAAGACAGGCACACAGGGAGGAGACAGCCAAGTGGTAGCTGTAAGCCAGGGAGCCCAGCAGTTGCTGGCCATCAGCAGAAACTAGCAGAGGCAGGGAGTCTGCCTGGAGTCTCAGAAGCAGCATGGCTCTGCCTACACCAGGGGTCCTCAAACTTTTTAAACAGGGGGCCAGTTCACTGTCCCTCAGACCATTAGAAGGCTGGACTGAGGGCCCAGGACGAGTCGGCTGCTAAGCAGGACAGGCAGCAGTGGCAAAAACACCCAGCGGTCCAGATAAATGTCCTAGGCGGGCTGCATGTGGCCCACTGGCTGTGGTTTGAGGACCCCTGCTCCAGATTGTGAGAAAATAAACGTCTGTGGTTTTAAGCCTCCTTGTTCATGATACTTAGTTACAGCAGCCACAGGAAATGAATACATCCTGATCACTGCTTCTTCATGCCTCTTAGCACTTTTTGAAATTATTATTATTATCATTACTTTTTGAGATAGAGCCTCAAGCTATCGCCCTGGGTAGAGTGCTATGGCATCACAGCTCACAGCAACCTCAAACTCCTGGGCTTAAGCAATTCTCTTGCCTCAGCCTCCCAAGTAGCTGGGTGCCCGCTGCAATGCCCAGCTATTTTTTGGTTGCAGCCATCATTATTTTTTGGCAGGCCCAGGCTGGATTCGAACGTGCCAGCTTTAGTGTATGTGCCTGGCGCTTTAGCCACTTGAGCTACAAGTGCCACCCTTCTTGAAATTATTTTATCTTTTTTTTATTGTTTGGGATTCATTGAGGGTACAAAGGATTAGGTTACACTGATTGCATTTGTTAGGCAAAATCGCTCTGATAATTGTGTCCCACCCCCAAGAGGTGTGCCATACACGGTGACTCCCATCCCCCTCACTCCTCCCCTCTCCTGGCTCCCTCATTGCCCTATACCCCCTTGTATTAGATTTTCTACTGCCTTCATATTAGAATAGAGTACACTGGATTCTTGCTCTCCATTCTTGTGATGCTTTACAAGAAGAATGTGCTCCACCACCATTCACGTAAAGTCTCCATCTTTTTTAGGGGCTGAAGAGTATTCCATGGTGTACATATACCACAGTTTGTTAATTCATTCTGAGCTGGTGGGCATTTAGGTTGTTTCCGCAATTTGGCAATTATAAATTGAGCGGTGGTAAACAGTCTAGTGTAAATGTCCTTATGATAAAATGATGTTTATTCTTCTGGGTAGATGCCCAGTAATGGGACTGCAGGATAAAATGGGAGGTCTAATTTGAGTTGAGTGTTCTCCAAACTTCCTTCCAAAAAGGTTGCATCAGTTTGCAGTCCCCCCAGTGGTGTAAAAGTGTTCCCTTCTCTCTATATCCACACCAGCATCTGCAGCTTTGAGATGTTGTGATGTGGGCCATTGTCACTGGGTTTGGGTGATATCTCAGGGTGTTTTGATTTGCATTTCTCTGATGATGAGGGATGATGAGCATATTTTCATATGTTTGTTAGCCATCTATCTATCTTCTTTAGAGAAGGTTCTATTCATGTCTATTGCCCAGAGATACAAGGGATTGCTGGGTCTTTTCTTGTTGATTAATTTGAGTTCTCTGTAGATCCTAATTATCAAGCTTTTGTTTGATTCATAATATGCAAATATCTTCTCCCATTCTGAAGGTTGTCTATTTGCTTTGGTTAGCATCTCAAATTATTATACTTTTACTTGTTTGTGTATTACCTGTCCTTTGTTTTTGATTATGAGCACCACAAAAAAAGGGGTTTACAACCTTGTCTAGGATAAACCTACACACCCCAGGGTATGTCTCCGTCCTCACCAGGTCTCTCTCATTTGCCCTCAAGCTTTTTCTTGTCTCTAAGGACCAAAGATTATTGTGTATATCAAACATACATGTGAAGATACTAAATACTTCAAAACATTCATTATTTGCACTCATAAAAAAGTAAGGCATTTTCTTATCATTCTTTTTTCAATTATAAAGATTTCTGAGCTAAGTTTTACTCTCTGTTTCCAAGAAATAAACTAAGACATAAAAGTGCGACATGGTCTTGGGTAGCACCTGTGGCTCAAAGGAGTAGGGTGCTGGCCCCATATACCAGAGGTGGCAGATTCAAAACCAGCCCTGGCCAAAAAACTACAAAAAAAAAAAAAAAAGGTGATACATGGTCTTAATTAGAGAATCAATGTCATTGTGTCTCTGTCCCTTACCTTTCTAGAAATCTGGCTGTTTTGCCCTCCTACCATAATGAATCTCTTTACTCCTCCCAGAAGGAAAACTCTGCCGTAAGATGTAAAAGAAATCCTTGTTAGACTGAAGATTAAATTAGCATGGATCAAGGCTCTGGTGTTCAACAAAACAGCAGCAACAAATCAATATTTATGCTTTAACATTTGCTCCTGACACTGAATGGAAAATAAGGAAGTAATCAAAAGTCGGTAAGTGCCTGTGATTTTATACTTTCTAGGAGCACTCAATTAATAACTCAGTGGCACATCTTCCATATAAATGCCGGAAATGAAGTGCTATGGTAAATTGACTGTTTTCATGCCTCAGTTTCATGCCTTGAAGCATTACATGCCTTCCAGCTTCCCCTCTTGCTGAGGTAGAAGAACATGGCTTGCAAAAATTTAAAGCATTTTAGAAGGCAAGGCTAATGTCTTGATCAGATGTCTGCCCAATTCACATTTGAAGAGAAGCCTTTTCCTCGTAGAAGGCTCTCTCTTGGGTATGATAAGAAAAACTGAAAGTCAGTGGAACAAACTGACTTGTGGGTTTGCAGGATTGCAATTTGTGCTTTGGGAAGCCAACCATAGCAGACTGTTAGCAACCTGCCAATTAGATGCCCACTGGTTGTGCCTGGCCCCAACTCAAAACAGGAAAAATATTCTTTATAAAAAATAATTTTTTTTTGGAGACAGAGTCTATCTCTATCACCCCAGTAGAGTGCAATGGCATCATCACAGCTCACTGCAACCTCAGACTCCTGGACTCAAGCGATCCTCCTGACTCAGCCTCCCGAGTAGCTGGGACTACAGGTCTGTGCCACCATGCCAGGATAATTTTTCTATTTTTTTTTTT